CCTAAGGGAAGGAAGGAAAGGAGCATTTAGTAAGCACTTTTTATGTGCTAGGCACTGTGCTACATACAATACAGATATTATCTCATCAATAACTCTGAGAGGTAAGGGTTATCATTATCCTCATTTTTATAACTGAGGAAGCTGAGTAAGACAGAGGTTGAATGATGTTTCCTGGGTCACACACTCGGTGAATGTCTGAGATCGGACTCGAACTCAGGTCCTCCTGCCTCCAGGGCCAACACTTTACCCACTGCATCACCCAGCTAGCTGCATCAGGACACTTAGGGGTGTCACTAAAAGATAAATGCAAAAATATTCACAACAACTTTGCTTGTAATAGTAAAAAACTGCAAACCATCCATATGCTGAACTATCAGGTAATTACTAGAAAAAACAGCAGTTCAGGAATTTCATAGGATGTTTGTTATTGAGTCATAAAAAAACAACAGCTATGACAAACAAAAAAACATGGAGAGATTTCAGTAAAGAGAAACTGAAAATAGAGAGGTCAGAAGTAAACAAGGAAGGGGGGAAATGGAATGATACAAGCAGAGAAAATAGAATACATCAAGATGTACATGGGTACAATTCTATGAAAAATGATCATGACAATAATTTTAAAATCTGGAAAACACATCATGTCAAAAATGAAAATGATAATAATAGTAGTAGTAGTAGTAACAAAATCTGAAGAAGAAATACCAGAGAAAAGAGATTAGAAGGAAGTAAGATTATTTTTGTCATTATTTTATTGAAGTGAATATACACATTTTTTAAAACAACGTAAGTTGTTTAAAATATGTGGCTTGGGGGCAATCCTCTTACTACTTGCTGCTATGCTTGTTTCCACTGATCGTTACCACTTAGAATAAAACTATTTAAAAAAACTAAATAAGAAATATTTCAGGCAATCGGCAAAATCGTCTTCTGAGTTTGTTCTGCAGCTTGGGGTTATGATTTCTTTACAATCCTAGCCAAGCTATAGCTGGTCACTTTTACACTTGCAGCCAGTGTTGTATAAAACATCTTCAAATCACCTTGGGACAAAGCCACCCTCGATGGATACACCTTAGGGTACCATAAGGCCACTAATGGGGAAAGGGAAGCAGTGGGGCCAGCCCAGAGAAAGACTCACCTGGAGGCTACTATAGGGGATGGGAGGAAAAGAAGTAAGGAATTAAACATTTATTGAGCATCTACTATGTGTCAGTCACATAGTACCTGTGCTAAGTGCTTTACAAATATTATCTCATTTGATCCTCACAAATGCTATTATTATTGCATTTATAGTTGAGAAAACTGAGGCAAACAGATGTTAAATGGCTTCCCTAGGGTCACATAGCTAGAGTTTGAGGCTGGATCTGAACTCAGGTCTGCCTGATTCTAGGCCTAGCACTCTATCCTCTATACAACCTAGCTACCTCTATATCAGCATTCATTAGTTTCCTACTAAAAATAATTATTCTTGCTAACTAGATACTGAGCTGGGTTATTTCTAAAGGACTATGAATGTTTCTAGGACCTATTAAATTTTAGCACGCTGGGGGCAAAGTCCCATTCAACCCACCCTAGTTAGGGCTCTTGTCTCCAAAACAGTGTTCTGCACAAAGTGGCTACTCAGTTAAATGTTTGTTGACTAACACATGTTTAAGGGGAAGCCCATGGCCAGGTCTGGGAAGATACTGAGGGAATTCCCATTTTCTTATCCAAAGACCAACTCCCAGAAACTAAGAATGAAACTGAAAATTCTTTAGCCAATGGACACTCTTCTCATGCAGATAGAGAGGGGAAAATGGAAGGTAGCTTGGTGACTGGGAGTTTCCAAGGCTCTTGTAAGCTTGGGGTTGGAGAAGTTGTAGAGTCATTGAACTTTGACAGTTGCCTTAGGACATGATTATTTCCACCACAGATCCACTCTCTGACGAATCTAATGGTGTAAAGAACCCTCTTTGAGCTCTCTCAGTCAACAGAGTGAGGTCCCCCATTCAGCAGGGCCAACAGTGCCCAGAGTGGATGTGAAAGAGGGGTACAAAATAATTTGATTTCTTGCCACCTCAGGAAAGTATCTGGTTCCTAGAGGGAGATGCCAGGAGGAAGCTCCTAAGATGAGTTCAAGGGGCCTATGTCTTCAGGTAAGGGCTCTGATCCTATGTCACACCCCTGATCTCACTGACTAAGCCACCCAAAGCCCTTCCTTCCACTGCCAACATATCTGCCCAAGTATGGCTTATAACAACCCTACCACTACCACTTATGGGCACATACATGCAGGTGCCCCTTCTGCATGACCCCAGATTCTGTAGATGACAGCAATTTCCTCTAAAACCATACAAATTGACTGATTTGGAAAGGTTAAAGGAGTCAGCTCTATTAGGCTCTCAGTGGCTTTCTGGAGAGAATTAGGAATATGGTTCCTTCAATAGTGCATTCATCCATTCAATAAACATTTACTAAGCACCTATTATGCTGAACATTGTGCTGGCTGCTGGGAGAAGTATAGAGTTTAAGACACTGTCTTTGTCATAACATATCTTTGGCAGATTTGAGCTCAGGCCTTCCTGACCCCAGGCCTATCACTCTATCTAATGCACTACCTAGCTACCTCTAAAGCATCATCCATTAGTATCCTATTTTAAATAATTATTCTTAAATTAAAGCTATCTATACTCATATGAAAATATGCTCTAAATCACTATTGATTAGAGAAATGTAAATCAAAACAACTCTGAGGTACCACATCATACCTATCAGATTGGCTAACATGACAAAACAGGAAGTTATAAATATTGGAGAAGATGTGGGAAAATTGAAATATTAATGCACTGTTGGCAGAGTTGTGAACTAATCCAACCATTTTGGAGAGCAATTTGGAACTATGCCCAAAGGGCTATAAAAATGTGCATACCCTTTGACCCAGCAACAGCACTTCTAGGGCTATATCCCAAAGAGATCATACAAACGGGGAAAGGACTCACACGTACAAAAATATTTATGGCAGCTCTTTCTGTGGTGGCAAGCAATTAGAAATTGAGGGGTTGCCATCAGCTGGGGAATGGCTGAACAAGTTGTGTATGAATGTAATGGAATACTATTGTGCTATAAGAACTAATGAGCAAGCAGACTTCAGAAAAATCTGGAAAGACTTGTATAGTCTGACGCTGAGTGAAGTGAGCAGAACCAGGAGAATGTTGTACACAGTAACAGCTACTAATATTATTTATGTAACACGATTAATATTGATAGACTTGACCCTTCTCAGCAATACAGGATCTAAGACATCTCCAAAGGCTCATGATGGAAAATGCTATCCACATCCAAAGAAAGAACTATAGAGTTTGAATGCAGATTGAAACATACTATTTGCTATTTTTTCTCTTCTGTTTTGTTTTGTTTCTTCTTTCTTGTGGTTCCTCCTATTGATTCTAATTGGTTCTAATTCTTCTTTACAACATGACTAATGTGCAAATACGTTTAAAAGGAATGTATATCAGATTGTATATTGTCCTCTTGTAGAGGGAGGGGGAGAAAATTTAGCACTCAAAAGCTTATGGAAGTGAATGTTGAAAACTAAAAATAAATTAATTAAGAGGGAAAAAAAAGGTTGTAAAGTCCTCAGATGGGAATAAATCTATCTTTCCTCTGAAAAAAAATAATTATTCTTACTAATTAGATACTAAGCTATGCTATTTCGGAAGAGTTGTGAATGTTACTAGGACCTACTAAATTTTAGCACCTTTGGGGCAAAGCCCCCTTTGCTCCACCAGAGTGCTTCAGGAAGCTGATTAAATCTACTTTTAAGGCTTAAAAAAAAAGTTGGTCCAATTGTCCAGAAAGGGTGATTATTGCTGTAAAAATATAATCAGTAACCTTGAAACACATACACACACACACACACACACACACACACACACACACACACACACACACACACACACACCCCTGTACTCCTACTAGGGGATCATCAGATACAACCAGCCTTCAGTGCTCCAGGATTTGGTTTTCACATTCATATGATCCCAAATCATAGACCTCTTTTTTTAACCATCTGCTCCCTAATTCTGAGCTGGTTCACCATTTATTTGTCTCCTCCACCAGAGAGAGGAAGTTAAACCAGCCTTTGGTTCTGGTAACAGATGCGGTAGAAGAGAAAGTCTAAATTTATTAGAAGGAGGTGATAAAGTCTTAAAACCACAGAATGTCCAAGCTGAAAGAAACCTTAGAATATAGTACATGGGTTGTTAGGACTGGAAGAAACCTTAGAATAGGGATTTTTAACCTGGGGTCCATAGATTCCCAAGGGCTGTGTGGATGAATTTCCGTGGGCCCATAAACTTGGATGGGGGCAAAAAAAAAAAAAAAATATATATATATATATATATATATGTATGTATATATATATATATGTATGTATATATATGTATGTATATATGTATATGTATATATGTATATATATACACACACATATACATGTAAATATGAAATTTATCATTTCATTCAATTATTTAAATTGTTATTCTGAGAAGTCCATAGACTTTATCAGACTGACAAAGGAGTCCATGTGTCAAAAAAAAAAAAAATTAAGAAGCCCCTGCCTTAAAAAAACGAACATAAAACACAGAATGTCAGAGTCAAGAGAAGCCATAGACCACCTGACCCAACCTCTTTGTGTCTCAGAGGAGGAAACTGATACCAAAACCCATTTCCCAAACTGCTGCTCTTCTCAGGACTCATAGATAGTCAAGAACTTGACTGGAAGGATCAATGAAGCAGTCAACCAGAATTACATCATCAGGGCCTCCCAGTTTCCCTCACTTGTAGCTGGATTCACAAGAGCTCGAGAAGGGGCTTTCTCAATGCAGAACTTTCAATAGTGACTCAGGGGTGCTTTGCAAAGGACGGACTGCCGTGTGACCTGAGTGTAATTAGGTGGGGGAAAAAGAGAAGGAACCACGCAGGAGGCTGAGCCAAGGCATCACGTGTGCCTTCACTCACTGAATAAAAAGAACCTACACACTGCTTCCTCCACAGCTTCAGAGCTAGAGGTGGTGGGGGTGGCAACTCTCTCCTGGTGATTACGGCAACAGCAAAGCAAGCATCATGGACGTAGGTAAGTAAGCTTTGGCGGGGGGAAATTTTTCTTGCTGATATTCACAAGAAGAGGCTTACAGAGGACCCTCAAGGAGATAATTCTTAGGGTCTGTCAATTGTTAAGGAGATAGAAAAAAGGAGACCACTTTTAGAGTCTCCCTGAGTCTCTACAACAGTTGGAGTTTACTGGGTGTGGAATGGGGAGGGAAGGCTTATCCCCAGTGGGGTCCTGGGCTGAGCTGCTCTCAAAATTCAATGTCTGCAATCAGGTGAGGTGGGGATCTCTGACCATGCATGGCATTCAGGGTCAAACTAGACAATATCTAGTTTGTTGGGAATTCACTGCTCCCTACAGAAACTGCCTCTCCTCTCCTTTGCTTCAAAGGTAGAACCAGAATCTAGAACTAACCACTCACCCATTCATATGGGTAGGGAAGGAAGAGCACTTGAGGGCTTTAAGGCTGAGTCCATCCTTTCCCACCCGAGATAGGAGGGACACCATAAAGAGAGTTATATTGGGTCAAGCTTGGAGACCAGAGGAATGAGAAGCAGTTTATCCTCTGAAAACAGGAAACAGGTAAAAGACGTAGTGGTATCTCTTGGCCACTGAGCATAAAAGTAAGGGTCTCTCCAGCTATAACTAGCCTGGGGCAAATGGGACTTTGTCCCAGAGTGCCAACATGGCAAGGAAGGAATCAGGGTGAGCATGACTTCCTATCCATGATAACCACCAACTTACCCATTATGTCCTAGTTTTCTGTCAACTGCCCTTGGATAACTACCACCAGAATCCCATTACCATGGCACTACTCTCCTGAGCCACCATCTTCCTAACCCTCGTGAGAGGGCCAAACTACTATCCTCTGTGCCATTGCCCCCAATCCCATTCCTCAACTGAATTTGCCCCAGGAACATTATGGTTCAACCCTAGATTCCGAGAGAGAATACTATTCCAAGGAAATTTTTTGCCAGATGCTTCTAAACCTCTTAAGTTTGAAAAAAATAGATATTTTAAACCATTTGAAATGTAGCTTTCAATGCTGCTTGGAAAGAAGGATAGACAGGAACTCCCAGACTTCCCCTAGCTCCATTTCTCATGCTATAAAGACTGCTATGGAAGACTCAGTCAACGTGCTTGACAATATCAATGGAGGCGTAGGTAGGACCGTCCTACCTTTAATATGTTGCTTGCAAATAGCGTTGTGTTTGGGAAGCAGTCAGTGTCAGACTATCCAGTCCAGCCCCTCTTTTTAGTCAGGCAACCCCTTCCTGTCCTAGGCAGATGAATTCCACCAGAGAAGGGAACCCCATTAATCTTTGGGGCCATATCCCAGGGTTCTGTCCTTTTGGGAGAAGAAAAAGAGCCAAAAAGATTCTGGGGGATTTTCATGGAGCCATCAGCTCCTTTTCATGGTAATGTGAAAGGAGAGTCAAAACAGGCAGCCAGGAGGACTGAGTTCCTGGATCACTATATCTGTATAACTAGATCACTAGCTAGCTGGCTACTGCCACAGTAGCCTCAAAATCACAAGAGGTCTGACTTGTAAAAGTGAAGATGCTTCAGCACACCCTGCTTTGCCTTCCTTTGCCACTGAACCATGTTCTTGACCTACCCCACCCCACACACACAGACCTGGAACCCTGGACTCAGCCTTCTGCAAAGCAGCTTTGAAAAAGCCAATAACCACCAGGATTTCCACCCAATGACCTATCATCCTGTGCTCTATGTCTGAATATATTCCAGCTGGTCTCCTCCAAACTCCCAAGAGACATCTCTCATTCCACCATGGAGCTCACTCTCTCCAAACCAGTAGCATCTTCTCCTTCACCTCTCTGAAGCTGCATCCCTCTCTCCCTCACCCCCTTGACTCCATCATTCAGAGGCTGCCAACCTGAAGCCCTTGCACCTGTCCTGCTCCTGGTCCTTCCCCATCTCTTCCTCCAACCCTTCCAGGGCTGCCAGCCACACCTGGGATTGCCTTGAGGCTCCCCACCAATCTCTGCTTTGGAGGATGCTGGCCTGATAGAATCACATGATGGAGGGAGATTTGTTCTTGGAGTTCAGCTCACCCAAGACAGAGAGAGCAGTTTAGAGATATGGTGGGTAGATAAGAAGAGGGAAACCACCAAGAGGTTTTATTATTATTATTATTATTATTAAGAATGGGCCCAAGGCAGTTGGCAGGGGCCGTTGCCCTCATTGGGGGAGTTAGGTTTCACTCATTTTATTTGGGGAGAGTTGGGCAGGAGGAGATAGGGGAGTGGCAGACAGGGCAAAATAACTGCCTAGTTTCTCTTACACAAAATGAAAATTGAAGCGGGGCTGTAATGTCTCTTTTCGGTACCAGAATGAGCAGGGAGAAACGACTGTTCTCAGCGGCTTTGATAAACAGAGGGAAGATGTCAGGGTCTGAATTCTCAAAAACAATAGGACATAGGAGTGCTGGGGGAGGGGAAGGAGGAACATGGGCCAGGGCCTCCTCTGGCCCTCAATTTCCTGGAAGGATCAATCAGGAAGATGGCCAAGAAATCAGGCGTGCAATGTCACTGACTGAGGCCAGCCACTTGGAGTGCCTTTTTTTAACAGCATAAGACAGCAAAAGAGACAGTCTGGCTTAATGGGTAGAAAATTGGCCACAGGGTCAGGAAGACCTGGGTTCAAGTCCTCTGGCTGAATGACTGCAGCAAGTCATTCAACTACTCAGTGCTTCAGACAACTCTCTAAAACTGGGGTCCTTAATCTGGTGTCTATGAACTTGGCTGTTGTTTTTCTCTCTATTTTGATCAATGTATTTCAACATAATTCGTTTCCTTTGTAATCCTGTGTATTTTATTTTATTCATTTAAAACCATCATTTTGAGAAAGGTTCTATGAGTTTCACCAGACCGACAAAGAGGTCCATCACACAAAAACTGTTAGAATTCCTGCAGGAAAATTTACAATACAGAGCAGATGGCAAGCTATATTGGTGGAAAGAGAGTCCTCACTGGAAGTTCCCTATGCCAATGAAATTACAGGTTAAGCCTAAAAGTGTTGGGGGATGAAAGGAAAAGGAATGGTGTGTGGCTATCCAGGTTATACAAACTTTTCATGCACATTGAGTGAAGGTAAGGGAGGCGGGCGGAAGGGACAAGTGTGGGGAGAGAGGGAGGAACTTCTGACAGTCAGTGGACTCACTAGCTTAACTGATATGACTATTTCCCCATTGTCCAGGGTTCAACTAGCCTGGATGCAGACTGTTCAGATTACAGGACTCCCTTCTTTCCCACCTATCCCCTAATATAGATTTGCTGATTTACTCAATCTTGTTTTCCCACAACAAAAAGAGAAAGTCAAACAGCCTGCTTGGCTCTCAGCAAAAAGCTCTGACTGGCAGCAGGTGTGGTAGAAGAGAAAGTTCAAACAATTCAAGTCTATTAAAAACTTGTATGTACACCACATTGGAGATGTAAAGGGAGAAAGTCCAGAGACTTTGTCCTCAGGGAACTTAACAATCTAATGGGGGAACATTCACATAAAATGAGGTTTAGGTTTAGGGACAGAATCAGAATGCCAGAGATGTAAGGGATTATAGAGATCATCAAATCTAACCTCTTTTATAGAGGAGAAAACCAAGGCAAAAATCTCATTGTCCAGGCTCCTCCTCTCCCAAAGCTCATGCATAATCAAGGGCCAGCTTTAAAGACCTCTAGAGCATTTCCTCAAAAGAGCCCTTCTCCTAGAGTCTAGAGCTCTGTCATTGTTGCTGTTGCTGCTGCTCTTATTGTTATCATTTTAATCATCTTTAGTACTGCTGGCCTGAGCATCCCACTGTTCCTGAACCCGGGCTTGTAGCTATCTGAAAGGCTGGTTGATTTCCAGACCCCCTAATCTTTAGTGCCAGGCAGAACCTCTGGAGTTCAAAATGTTCCAAGGAATAGGGGGGTTAGGGAGCATAATAGTTGTGGTGGCAATGAGAAAGAAAACAGAATTCAGAGGAGATAAGAGAGGGCAAATGAGCATGGCAATGGGGTGAAAGGCTAGAGAATACAGACATGTACACATAAAACGTGGTATCTGCCAATAAGCTCTCAGTGTGAGAGGGTTTTTGTCATTGACTCAAGCTTCCCTGCCTAACCCCTAACCCCAAAGGATGCCTCCTCCTTTTGAAGGAGATTGGCTCCCAACCAGCAGTACTTTCCCTTTCCTTTGCATGATGTGGTATCAAAGAAAGTCTACTAGCTTTGAGTCAAAGAACCCAGGTTCAAATCTCACCTTTGATATTTGTTACTTGTAGAATCTTGGGCAAATCACCTCCCCTCTCTGTAGCTCAGTTTTTCTCATGTAAACTGGGACAGCCTCTGAAGCACCTTCAAGCTCGGCGCCTATGAACCTTTGATCTTTCCTACCAACACAATTCCTAACATACATACACTGCACACAAACAGAGCCACGGCTTGGGCACCCAGAAAATTTGGCAGGCTGGAAGTCCTGAGCACGTGGCTTGGAGGAGAGTTGGGGAGCAGGGAGTGAAAGACTCACAGAGCCAACAACCTCCTGTATTTGAGGCTGAGGAAGTGGGGAGAGTTTCTTTTGTTGAAAACTCAGAGAGGAATTTTAGGGAATTTCTTCATAAGAGCTACAGGTAACAGTTGCAGAAAACACCCAATGTTCAAGTCAACCATGTCCCAAAATCTCATCCACCAGCCCTCAGGTTTACTGGTACTGTCCAACCTTCCTACTTAAAACTATCGGTCTATGACTGATTAAGGTTCTGACTCATAAACAGCTGACTGACCTCTCCATCCCTGGCAGGCACAGGGTTTCCCCTGCATCTTCCCACTATTGCCAGCGCTTCCTAGGAAAAAAACAAACAAACCTGTCCCCAACCTCCCAGACCCTTAACCTTTTCTCCCAGGCCCAGAAGAGGGCAAACTCCCTCTGGGAATGAAGGGACACATGTGAGGTGCTGGAGGGAGGGGGTATAGTTGGAGGGGGGTGGCAGTAGAATGGAAAAGAAACAAGGCTGTTGGTCTTAA